AATGTTGCCCTCTAGGAAAGGCTCATGGGAAATGACACCTCCAGAGGAAGAGTCAACTGCTCAGATTTATTTTCTTCTCAAAAACGGTAGCAACAAATAGATTCAGACAAGTTCATTTCTCCCATGTGTCAGTTATTTTGAATGGTCTCTTGTTGATTTCCTGATATTTCATCATATATCCCCGTGGGTTACTAAAAAGGAATGAAGGACTCATCACTTGTGATCCAAGACCTGTGAAGCCCTAAGTTGTGGAGCTTAGTTTCGTGAGAGTCTTCACAGAGGAGACCGGAGAGACTCCAGGGCACTCAGCACACCACATGGCGAGAGCACTGCGTGCAAAGGACAAAGCCATCTGGGCTTTGGCAACTGATCTAGTCTCAATAAATCCATTCATGTCCCACCTATCTCTTGTAGGTCCCACCTAGTTCCACTTTGTCATATTCCAACATAGAGATTAAAGATCTGCTTGAATGTTCATGGAAACGTTCAAATAAGAGTGAATTGTTCTAGGGAATCAAACAAAATTAGTTTTGGTTTTGCAATATGAATGGTGTTGATGAGGTCACCCAACCTGTGCGTACCAAAGCTACGCTATGTAGCTCACAGTCTATGGCACTGGGCTTTAACAGGAAATGAACTGAGTGGCTGTGGCCTCAGGTCAGAACCAAGCTGGATGAGAAGCTAGCCTGATTCAGTGCTTCGATTTAATGCTGCCCCCTAGGGAAACCTGATGGGGTTCTCATCCAGTATGGTTTTCTTCCAGAATTATGTAGAGAGCTGAATTGAAGCACCCCAGCATTTTTCTGCATTATAGTAAACAACTCTTTCAATTCCACCATTTTTAAAATAAATTATATACTACTAATTTCCATTTGCTCATGGAAAGCAATTATTTCTGCTTATATTTTATTGATCAATTTTGCATGCCTATAGCTTGTGATCTGAATTAGTTTAAAGACAACAATATACAATATAATAAGCATTATTAACTTCCTATTACCTTGTTTTAAAATTCCATATAATTTTTGTTGTTCCACTCTTTAAATTAAGAAAGATATTGAACATAAGCTGAATTTATTGACATAAACATATTTCCTGTACTACAGTAATTTAATTTTGGACTAAACTGCTGAGGCAAACATTATCAGTCCTGTTTATTAAAAAATGTTTGCCTTTCAGAGATTAGAAGACTCATTCACAATGACACCCTATGTGCACCTGGGGCCAGAATCCTGATAGCAGAGCTTGCTGTTACCTACCTCATTCAATTGCCCAAGAAGTAATTTTAAAAAAGAAAGCAAACACCGTTCTCAATTCCTGATCCCACAGACATCTGTTCTTCACGATGATGTGCTCTGGTGTTGAAGAACTTGATGAAAGAAAAATCCTTCCTTTTCCAACTCAAATACAATTCATTACTTTTTCTAGACTCACTCCATCAGTTAGATTACTAGTTATTATTTTATTTATTTATTTTTGATTTATTTTAGTACATGGTCTACAGGGTGTATAGGATCTCACTATGTATATCCCACTGGGTATATAGTGATCCTTTTGCTTTTAAGCCCCTCAAGAGCTGAGATTGCAGGCATGTGACACCACACCCAGTCTCTATCAACATCTCAGCATGCCCCAGGGATGGGGCCAGCACAGCATGCTGGGATCGAACCCCCGCTGCTGTGTTCTGCCTAACCAGGCACTTTGGCCCACTGAGCTATCTCGCCAGCCCTGCCTCATCATTTTCAGTTATACACAAAACAAAAAGCTATGCATGTTAAGCAGAGTATCCCATGATGTTCAATATGAATACATCTTCAGTATTATTATATCAACTTAAATGATCTACTGAGACATTTATCATTTCTGTGTGATGAAATGTATACAATCTTTTCTATTATCACCTTGAAATGCACAGAGATGATTCCGTAGTTACTTGCTGTGTAATAACAGCACACCACACTTCTTGGCTCAGTATTGATTTACAAATCTGTTCTCAGGGCCAGGGATGCAGCTCAGTGGCACAAGTACTTGCCTGGCAAATGAAGGTCTTCAGTTTGATTCCCAGTCCCCAAAAGCAAACAAATAAATGGGCCACAAATAGCCATAAAAATCTTTCCCGCAGAGCCAGAGAAGTGTGGATAACGTTGCTGGTGCTTTTGACAATCAAGTTTAACTATCCCAGATGCCAGCTCCTGGTGCACCAATGTCACTATTTATTCTGCCACCCTGCTGTCCAGATATTGCCAAAAGAACAAAGGTGACACTCCTTATAAGTTATCAGGCTGTTATTTTTATTTATGTGTTACACTAAAACCTTGAGAAAACAAATTTTTCCTATTTTCTTCATTTCTAACAACTAAAACTTGTTGTGTTACAGACACAGTAAGGTAATAGCACTCAACAAAAATATGCCAAGGAAGAGAATGAGTGAATAAAGAACAGGCTAGAGTGCTGAGAGATAAGCTGAAAGTACCGGAGAGATTTTTAGGTGTGTTATGACTGACATTTTAAAACTAGTGGATACATTAGTAATAAGATGATTAAGTTAAGTTTTATGAAAGTCAATAATTGAGTATAGGCTCAGATGACACACAAACTTTTATGTGAATTATTATACAACCCACTTATGTAAATTAAAAGACTTTTATGAGAATTAAAATAATACTTTGACTCCAAAACTTTTGTGAAATATGGATAGGCATGCAGTTCGTGCTTTTGCCTACTAAATGTTTATTTCTTGTGCATGTACCTTGGAGACAGGCAGGTCTGCAGGGGTCTGACAAAGTAAATCTGTGCACAGCCTCTGCAACCCGCCACTCCCCACCAGCCCCTGAGGTCGAAGAGAGCCACATTTACATCTGATGGACAGACCGTACGAACGTGATAAAATGGAGCATCGATTCTGGGAGGCAGTTAAGTCCTGGCCTATAAATAGTGCACCACTCCCCATCCACATGCCCTTGGAGAGGCCTGAGGCAGTGGAGAAAGAAAGTAGAAGCAAAGCTGAGAAATACATCTACCATTTTCTTTGGTTTTATTATTCAGGAAAATAGGAAGTGAAATTGGTTTTTGAGGCAATACAGAGGACTCCATAAAATATATTTGAGTAAAGACATTTTTACCATAATAATAATAAAGAAATTTTAGTAAATTTACTAAAATTTTAGTAAATCCAACGATCTTAATAAAATACAAACAAACAATGATATGAGGCCCCAGTGTAATGCATGAAACTTTCAATTTAAACGTTTACATTAACAAAGTACTGTATAGTCAAATAACAAGGGCTGAGTGCAAAAAAAACCCACAGAGACTGAGACAGTGCTTTCAAATGAGGACTTAAGCAGTGAGAATCATGTGCGATGTCAATGAGTTATGAAAGCGCTACTCAAATTACACATGAAATAGCTGAATTGGACCTCATGTGGGAGAGAAAATCTATAGATGACATCAACATGTTTTTGCCATCACAGACTTCATAATCTAGAATCCCATTTACAACTGCTTCTTTTCTGCGCAATTATTCCCTGTTCAACTGCATATTGGTTTTTGTCTACTCATTAAAACACAAACACACTTCCCCAGACTTAGCTGAAACCTCTTCTCCCACCTGTGGTCGAGGTGGGAATTGATCCTCAGGATAAGTTCTACCTCGTCACAACTATTCTGCTGACCGCTTTCTGAGCAGCCTCCTTCACGTCCTTGTTCCTCAGGCTATAGATCATGGGGTTCAGCATAGGAATCACCGTGGTGTAGAACACGGCCACCATCTTGCCCTGCTCCACAGACTCCTCCGTTGGGGTCCTGAGGTACATGAAGAACAGCGTCCCATAGAATATGGTGACGGCTGTCAAGTGAGACCCGCACGTGGAAAAGGCTTTCTTTCTTCCCTCCGCAGAGCGCATTCTGAGGATGGCAATGAGGATGAATATGTAGGACACAATGATGACCAATAAGGAGTACGAGAAGTTGAGCCCTGCCAAGGTGCGCATGGTGTATTCTTTAATGGCGGTGCCAGCGCAGGCTATCTTAATGAGAGGTGGATCTGCACAGTAGAAGTGGTTGATCTCTATGTTTCCACAGAAGTATAAGCCATGGGTCCACAGTGTTGAGATCAAGCTGATGAAGAAGCCATACACATAAGGGAAAGAAATCAGGCAGATGCAGACAGTTCTTGACATTCGGCTGCCGTAGAGCAGAGGGTTGCCAATGGCCATGTAGCGGTCGAAGGCCATGACAGCCAAGATGAACACTTCGACATGGACAAAGCCAATAAAGAAAAAGCATTGCACTATGCATCCAGCATAGGAGATGGTTTTGATCTCAGAGACCAAATTTTCCAACATTTTAGGGGTGACATTAGAAGAGAAACACACATCTGCAAAAGAGAGGTGTCCCAGGAAAAAGTACATGGGACTGCTGAGCTGAGGACTGATCTGGATTAATATGATCATACCAATATTCCCAAGCAGAGTGATGATGTAGACCAGTAAGAAGACCACAAAGAAGAGGAGTTGTAGTTCAGAGTGACTAGTTAACCCTAAAAGAACAAATTCTGTAACATCCGTAAAATTAAGCATTTTCTCAAATCCAATCCAGAGCATGATGCATTTTATCTAATAAAACAAACAGAAATGAATAAATACATAAAACAAAATAAAGTCACTTTGCATTCAGACTATCTTTCCTAACTCATTTTTTTCAATTGGGATTGATATTTCTACATCTTGTATTTCCTTTTGTTTAGATTTCTTTGCTTATTTGTCTACTTCATGCATACATACATTATCTTTCACAAAGAAAGCCATAAAGTACCATAAATTATTGTATATAATTTTCATTGTGTAGAAATAAGTATTTCAAAAATTTTTTTATCTTCTGGAAAGAACAATATTTCTCATTGGTTCCATTTTTAAATATATGCATGTATATTATTCATCGATTAGATATGTACAGCACAGATGGTCTACCGTATGTTATAAATCCATTTAAAATCACAGTTAAGAAATCATGTTCCTCAATCAGAAAGTTAAATGGGATTTTCATTTAACTTTGTCATCTTACAAATTTCAGATGTATATTTGTGAACAATTTAAAATGCAACAAATGGCTTAAGATAAACTTATTGCTCACATCAGAAGAAACAACACTTATTTTTATGAAATCAACCTTTAAAAGTATCAAGACCTGGCAAGCAAAGAAATCCTTTTTTGAACCTTAACAAAATATCAAATTCTGTGGAAACCTCTTATTTCTTTTTCTCCAAATTTAGAGTCACAAAATCATAATAATATATTCAGTCTTTAATGTATGTTTGTCTATAAATAAATAAATAATGAAACTTCCAAAATGTAGAAGACATTAGTTGATGGGTTGCAGATCAGAATGATTCATTGTTTACTGCATCTGATTAAGATGAGGAGCTGGAGAGGTAGTGTAGCAGTTTACACATTAGGCTCTACAGCAAGAGGTCATAGGTTCAAGTCTCGGGTCTGCCTTTATTTATTGGGGGCCTGCCCCTTAGCTCAGTTCTTAAAGTGGCTGCTTCACCAAAGCAGTCAGGCTCAGGTTGCTGCGGTTCGATCCCCACAACTCAAGCCAGCCAAACCTGCCCTGAAGGCATTCAGAGGAAAAAAAAAAATCCTTCTGATTAGGATGAGGAAGTTTGGATTGTGTATTCTTCCCACCACTTTTTAGTGCCAGAAAAGTTTGGGCTAATTTGCAACAAGTAATTTTTTACTAATGTTCTATTGAATTATGAGCCAGAGTATTGTTCATTCATCATAAACTATCCTATATTTGCCACCAAAGTGTGAGTTTTAAAAACATCATTATCCGCTAGTCATACAGGAAAACCGAGACAGAACCAAGATTAACAACTTGGATACCTTGACTGTTGCATTGAACACTACATATTATCAAAATTCAATCACATGGTTAGTAATAAAATAGTTACCACCCTGGGTTCCTACTCTTCATGAGATCTGTACCATGAGTCTACTTATTCTCTTGCTGTAGTTTCTCAAGGGTGAACAGACATAATGAGAGAATATGCATTGCAGAGGTACCATGAGGATTCACTGGAGTAAATTTACAAGGAGAAAGGCAGAAAAGACACACTAAAGAAACCCCCAGGTTGTGTGTTCTAGGCATAATTCTAAATTTTTTGAGGGGGACTTAATTTTCTTATTTCAAAAAATTAGGAGATAAATTGAACCAGAATCCTCCACTGATGCTAAGTATTAAATGGAGATGGACTAGATTTATTAGAAGAATTCAAACAATGATTTGTCATTTTCCTCTGTGTTTTGGGGGAAAAAAACCAGTCAATGTATGTTTCATTTTGATATCTTTTATTTTATTTTAGGGTAATCAGAGAGCAACCATTTAGAACTTATGAAGGGCCATTTGTTTTAAAACACACATCATGGAATCACTTCTGGCTAAAACAGCCATGTGCTTCTGTCTCTAACACTGTCAACCTATAAGCGTAAAAGTGCACTAAGGAGGCAGAGGCGTAAGGGTCATGAGTTCTAATCCCACGGGGGCATTTTTTCAAGTCACTGTTTCAAAATAAAAAATCATAAAAAATGAAAAGGGATCTGGGGATAGAGCTCAGTGGTAGACCACCCCTGGATTTAATCCCCAGTATTTGAAAAAAATGTGTCACAAATAAATGGCACACACTATGATTGTACTCTTCTTTGATGACTATGAACATGGTACACAGAACTAGAAGAGAATAAAGTTTCATTGTGACTCATAAGTTGTCCTGCCTATAATTTGAAATGTGTGTTTCTGCAGAAGGTACACACAGATTAGAAATGTGTAAGACAAGGCTCCACTTTAGTCTTTCATGTTGCCCAGCCGTGTTTCATCAATACTTTGCATTAGCGAGTCACTTTTTCCTAAGGAAAAGGGAATTATAAAATAATTTTTACACCACATTGTACAGCTATGCTTTGGAATATCTTATAGATATTTGTCATTCAGTATCTAATTTATTACCTTTGTACCTCTATGATGAATTCAAAAAGTGTTTCTCTTTTAGGTATTCAGGAAGCCATTATATGAGTTGTCTTCATAAATTATATATATATATATGTGCATAAAATTATGATTGTACATATGAGCTATAACTGATACCATGAAAGTGCATTTTATATATATATATATATATATATATATATTCCTATGTTAATATAACAGTTCTTTTAATGCAACAAATACATGTTATAATTTCCTCTTCCACATTTCCTGAAAACATCTCACAAAAATCCTCTTCCTGCTCATAATTACAAGGACAGGCTAGGGAGATAGTTCAGTAGAATAAGTGCTTGCCTGGAAAGTGCAAGGGACTGAGTTCAATCCCCGGTTCTGCCAAAAAAGAAAAAGAAAAAAAAAAGCTAAAGAATTACAAGGACAGCCCAGAGAGCTGTCACTTGACACTGATTTACACCTTGTTCTTGTCCGTGTACCTACCTGCCCATGAAGAAAAAGGGCCCCTGGAAGCACCGACTCTGCTATCACTGGAGGATAGTTCAGAAGGATATACAAACACTGAATTTCCCACAGTGGGACTTTCTCCCTGGAGAATATGGACAGAAATCCAAGGCAGTAATTAAGATGCAACCTATTGCATCATCTGTAATAAAACTGAATCTCAAGAGCAAGGTAACTCTCAGCAGAACTAGAATTTGAAAAGCAAGGAAGGATTAGAAAACCTTGAGTTCTGGTAACTGCACCGCATGTGGTGGGGAAGGTATACAAGTTTTGTTTTGCAGTATGATACCAATGTTTATACCGCATCAGTTACAGCATTGATTTTGAATAGCATGTAATTTACAGTAGGCAAGTACTACTGAAAAGTATTTCTTACCCTTTTCCAGTTAGTAAAAAAGTAACAAATTGTCTACCCTGTACCCGTGTCAGCAGTGACCTTTCAGTGGTCTTCCTTTCATCTGAAAAAATTAAAATAGCTCTCTAACCTTAATTCCTGAATTAATGTTGGCAATAAAAAGGAAAAACTATGATATTGTTTCAGCCTTGGTAAGTTCATGATTGTGACACTTTCATTTTAAAAGAACTGAAGGGATAAAACAAACAAAATTAGTAACACATGACTGTCTTACGGAAGAAAAGCAATTCCATTAACAAAGTAATTCTTTCACACACAAAAAAAGTAGCTTGGGATTTTGCTTAGCAGAACTTTAACAAACAGCCGTAGCTGTGAGTTGGTTCAGTGGCTGCTACCCGTCGAGGCATGTGTGACACTAGCCAGTGGTACTCCTGCATAGACCCAGCCCCCAGAAGCAGAGCTGCGCGTGTCTTCTAGCTAGCGGGCCATGCCCTTGAGGGGTGCGCGGACCTCGGCCACATCCTCCTCCTCCTCTCTCCTCATCACCTGCTCAGAGCGCTTTTGCTGCCCAGCGTGAGTGCTGCTCACCCGGTTCTGAAGGATACTGGCCCAATACATCATGGGCCAGACCTTCTAAACCAGACAGCTAGAATCAGTACGTTCACCTTATCACCCTACTGTCTTGGGCATTGTGTGCTGCGGTAACCGAGTGCTGACCGGCGGGGCCGTAACTCTCAGCGCAGCGAAACCAGAAGTCCGAGCATCGGGCAACTGCGGCAAGGCTAAAGGTGTCCGAGGAGCTCTCCCCACGGCTGCCCCTGCGCTGCGTGCTGGTGCCTTCCCCAGCTGGGGAGCTGCTATCTCCAGCAAGGAGGGATGAGCTCAGAATCTTTTTCTGTGTAAGATTTCTGACCTGCTCTTCACCCAGACAGAGCAGGCGAAGAACACCCTCTTCGTGGCCGCTGGCTTTCCATCAATCGTCTCCAGCGAGGCTGTGGGAGGTATTTTGGTTCGCTTCGCTAATTTCGTTGTTTATGTTGTTTGCTTCGTTTATAAATTCTATGAAAAATAAGCTCCTCAGTAACTGTTTCACTGATGAAAGGTAATATACCTACTCTCTGATGTTTTCATGAGAAAGAAGAGCTATTTTTCTCCTACTTACCCTTTGTAGACAATTAGAAATGCTAAATGGGTGAGAAACAAACCTTAACATTCTTATGGACAGTGACGTCTGTTTGTGGCTGGATGGGGCTTAAATTTCAGTTCACTACATTTATAAGGTGTGCTACTTTATTCCTCTCGCTGAGCTTAATCAGCACTTGGGCCATGAAGGTAGAAAAGAAACAATTCAATTAATTCTTCCTTCTTTCTGATAGATGGCATCTGAGTTCTAGCAGGTGAATGTTCTCCAAGATACCAAAAACCACAGAATTTTTACCCTATTGTCACCATCCATAGACACTGGCATTTATTTGCTTATTGGTTCTTTTAATTTTTAAAAATCTATGTATTTATTTGTGTGGTCCAGGGTCTCTCTATGCAGCCGAGACTCATAGTGATCCTCCTGTCTCAGCCTCCCCGGCACTGGGATTAAAGGGATGTACCACCACTCGAGGTTTCAGGGCCAGTGTGGCATATGGTACCTGGGATTGAGTCCTCGCACTTGCCAGGCAGGAGCTTAGGCCACTGAGCTGTTCCTCAGCCATTTATTTATTTATTTAT